CAAGGTGGCCAGAGTTCATTTGAACGAATGCAAGTCATTACACGCTATTAATATCGGTAACACACACACACACACACATACACATGTGCATAAATATATTCAAATATTCACATACATACACGCAGTTAATATTCGTATGTATTTGTATTGGCTGCTGTCTCTCTATGTTCGATCTGCGTCAAATTATCAGCTAAAAATCTACTTAAAATGATTATGAGCATTCCCTTTGTGAGTATTTTTAAATGTAATTGGCATATTTTTGATATGTTTTACTATAGCTTTAACGTGAAAGAAGCGTTTCTATAAATAATTCTATTTGATATGCTTCTAGAGCAGCATATGCAAATTGTTGTTATTTAAAAACCAGAGCTTTGATAACTCAAAAGTATCGTTGCTCTATGCGGCATCGATACGTTTTAATGCTCGATAGATTTGCGATAAGTTTTTAAATATGTACTCCTCACCTTCCCCTCTTTTTTATAGATTCTGGTTGCAATAACATTAAATGTTATGCCGTAACAAATGCCCGCTCAAACTGACGATTTTCCAATTAACTGTTTGCTGTGTCAAACATGTTTTGTATTCAGCTCCTTTTGACCACCAGCATACAAAATAATTAAAATGATCTTAAAATAGCTTTAAAAATAGATAAATCGCCGAACTTGAAGCTGTTATTAGATAAACGTATGTTATTTAACAGACTCACCAAATGTTAACGACACAATCTCTGTTGGGCGCACTGTTGTCAGTAACAGCAAAAACATTTCTTCTTCTTTTATTGCCATCCTCCACTATCTATACACGAATAAAAGCCGTCGTCGCCGCAAATTTTTTTTTGCAATGCTAGAAAACAATTAAGAAAAGAAGTACTATTTAAATTGCCGTTTGGTCGTTTGTCTGCAGATTAAAAACCAAACGCAGCTTTGCTTATTGAGCAACCGTACGGTAAGCACTCGCGACGCGGCACCAAGGGCAACAACAGCCAATTCTGCCGGCAGACGCGACGCTTTTTTGCAAAAGCGAAAAAAAAATTGAATTTGTGTAAAACGTGAGCAGCGTGTAAGTATGGCCCAGCAAACATATAATTATATGATCTCCTACTACATGTGTTTAGATTTCAGTCGAGTCTGAGTGTGCGTGTGTGTGTGTGAGTGTGTGTGTGCAGTTCCAACAAATTCAACCATGTCGAACGTGGAAATTTACGACTCGTCAAATTCGCAACTGAGCAGCGATGAATACAGCCACGACGAGGACGACGATGCATTAATGGATGTGGCTGTCAGCAAGCAAACGCCCGCCAAGTCAGCCAAATCCAAATCCAATGACAGCTCACCGACCAAAACCGATAGCACCTCCACCACGCCCCGTAAACTGTCGGACGATCTGGATGCCGCCGCCGCCGCGTCCACGAAGCCGCCTACCAATCGGGAGCATACGCAGCGACAGATTAAGCAAATGCAGCGGGACATCCAGGCGAATCTGTATTTCAAGCGACGCAGCATAAAATGGTATATACTTCGAGCAATTATAATTATCTGACAGTTCTCAACAACGGATTGACCAGCATTGCCTGGTTCGAGATCCTTTCCGAGCGGTCTACGGGAAGTCCAATTTTCTTACAAGTTCTTTTCTTAGAAATGTTCGTTCGTTCGTTCCTGGAACAAAAACAAAGGGGTCCATGTCCGACAATGTATATATAAATATGTAGGTTTAAAGATGTGCACATTAATCTTACAGGGAATAGTTAAAATTTTAAGCTAATTAATCCATTTTCTTGGCATCTCAATGACAAGTACCAGCAGGATTCGTATTCAAAGAAATTGTTATGTCAAATGACACGTTCAATTTGAAATGTTCTCTCGAATCATTCAAAGTGACAACCGAAAGAGAACTCTATGCATATTTTATATTTTACCGCAAATACTTGTGCCTATTAAATAGCTTTTTACGTTCAGGCTTAATCAACGTGTTACCAATAAGACCGACTACATGAGCCAGCTGCGGCGCGCTCTGCCCAAAATTCAGGCGCAGGCGAGGCGCATGGCCGAATATCGCGCTGCCAAACGGGCCATTGAACGGGAGCAGCAGACGCGCCAACAAGAGCGACGACGCAGTGGACGCACGCCCAGCCGCAGTCGTAGTCGCAGCCATACGGGCAGCTTGTCGCCGGAGCTGATCTGCCTGGATGATACCGAGAATGAAGACTCACCCGAGAAGCCCAACGACACGCCGGCAGCAGGCAATCAGACGCAGCAGCAGGTAGGCTCAAAGACGCCACCGCCTTTCACTTTGCAACTGGAAATAGAGAGTGAGGCAACGCCAGCTGAAAATGGCTCCGTGCTGGATGAGTTCTTGACCATGAAGCCGGCCATAGCTGCAGAGCCAATAATAGAAGAAGCCGCCGGCTGTAATAACAGCATACAGCAGCAGCAGCAACAGCAGGAGATGCAGGCTTTGCCTGCCCTGGACCTGGGCTATAAAGCTGCAATTGAGCCCAGAGCCAGTTTGGATATGCCTCTGGAAGAGGCCACACTCAAACGCCGTCGTTCGGTCACGCCGCCATCGACTGAGCCGCATGTGGAGAAGCGCACCAAGTCGTTGCCAACCGAAGAAGTGGATGATGACATTATAGAGTTTTCGCCTGTTTATGCAACTCCTTCCAAGCAGGCGGCAACAGCACAGCAAGTTGCAGCAGCAGCAGCAGCAGCACAATTACCGCCTCCAACACCACCGACAGCGTCCCTGAACAAGCCAAGCATCAGTCAAGCAGCTGTTGCCCACCTGTTGGCGTCCAGACCCAACACGGAGTCACCATCGAGCACGCCCGTGCTCAAATTGGGCTCACCGTTCACATTGACACCGTCTAGCGACATGGACTTCTATGCGCAAAAGAAGACGATGCAGCAATCGCAGGCTGTAGACATGGCTGCCATCTCGTATAGCCTGGAGACGCCCACACCACCCGTGGAAGCCATGGAGATAGTCTATCCCAATGAGAAGTCGTTGGCTGACATTAAGACAAGCGCCGAGCCTCTAGCTCAAACAGCCAGCGCGCCAGCCGTGATACAGCAGCAGGCAGCACATGAGGCGCACATATTTGCCACGCCCTACGCTCACCAGCAGCCGCCCCAGCAACAGCAGCAGCCGCCCCAGCAACAGCAGCCGCAACAGCAACAACAGCCGCAACAGCAGCCGCAACAGCAACAGCAGCCCGCGCAGCAACAAATGCCGTTGCGTCCAAAGCAGCGCTCCGAATCCAACTCCAGGCAGACACAAACGATTGCGGCGCCCGCGTCAGCACAACCACGCAATAAATCCTCGGTTGATCTGAACAACAGCAACAGCGATGCGGTCTTTCATCAGCGCGTCAAGGAGCTGTACACGGAGCTGGACGAGATAATGAGTGATAAGGTGCGCGCCGTCAAGCCGGAGCTCAAGTCCTATGCCGATGAGAAGCAGCGCATTGAGGCGGACATCAAGACGCTGGATAATTTGATAAGCCAAAAGGAGGAGGAGCATAATCGTCTGCTGCATTTGCGCTGCATCAAAGAGGAGCTGCTGGCGCGCATTGAGCGCAAGGAGCGCATACTCATCATGAAGGAGATATTGCCCTCGATTCTGAACAAAAACTGCAGCACATCGGAGCTATATGAAATGCATGCACTGCTGCACAACGAACAAAATGCGCCAATGCCCTCGCGTCATGGTTCCAGCGCAGTGGAGCAGCTGATTAACAGAGTGGAAAACGGACTGGATGATCTCAAAGTCTTGCGCGGGTATGTTTGCTTAGAGATTTGCCATATTGAATGAACTTATTAGCTTGTTCTTTAATGCTTCAGCGCTTTGGGCCTGCAGGAGAAAGCGCCATCCTGCGCCGAGCTGTCCATGCCGCCGCCGCCGCCACAGCATTATGAGACGCAGCAGCTGCACAGACGCAACTCTGTGCCGGCCATGCGTGCATCAGTGCCGCAAATTGTGGGCGATCGCGCCAGTATCTATGGACGCTCTGCTGCCGTGCACGAGGATTATCGCCGAGAGCAGCCTGAGGAGTTGCTCGGCAAGAGTAATAAACTACAGCCGCCACAGTCACGGTACGAGTATATAGCCTTAGGTTCTGGTTTAGTTGAGCTCTTTAATCAATTCCATTTGCAGTTATCAGCAGCTGATCAATGAGTCCAAGCAGCTGACAGGCTCTACAACGGATCTCGCTGGAAGCTCCTCATATCGCCAACAGCCACCGGACGCGCGACGCAGCCAAACCAATTCGCTGGACAATCATTTTGATAATGAGATGCCACTCAAGCCGTTGTATAACAGCAGCCCACTGGCGGCTGGCAATCAGCGCAAAAGCAACGATACAAATAAGCAAGTAGGTGCACTGCATGCACAGCATTGGCTTGCATTTAATCCCTATGATGCCTTTTGATTATTCTAGTACAACGAAACACATTCCATGTATCGGCGGGCGGAGCTGCTGCAGGGTCTGGAGTCGCTGGAGCGTGTCGCAAATCCAAACAATCGCAATAGCAATAACAATATTAGCAAGCGCATGGGTTCCACTATGAATGGACCGGAGGAACTGGAGCGCCGCTGCCAGCAATGTGAACGCTATAAGGCCACCTACATGTGCGCCGGCTGCCAGAATCAATGGTACTGCAGTCGAGAATGTCAGGTGAGAGAGAGAGAGAGAGAGAGAATGAGAGAATTGTTTATATTGTAAAGAGCTGCTCCCATATTAATTCAAATATTCATTGCAGGTGCGCGCCTGGGACACACATTGGGAGTCGTGCCCCAATTAGGATATACTCGCTGTATCAGCATTACTACTACTACTACTATTAAATATAAATAAATACATATATATATATATATAATCATAGTCGCCCCTCCCGCTCCCTTTCTCCATCACTACTCAACATTTCATAAATTAGTAATCGTCAAGTTTCGCTATCGGAATTTTTAATTGCAATGCATTAAAAAATACACACACAACACGCACATTTTCGAGTGTCGGTAATTGCAATAGCTCAATATTCGTCAAATCATTAAAAAATTAAAAATATATATTATATATAAATGCTGTACTCGGTGTTAAATTCAAGTTTTCAATTGCCTTCAGTAATTTATATAGATGTACTTATTTTTCTGGCAGCTACAACAACTTTTGCCTGTTACTTGATTGACTTTAGTTGATATGGCCCCCCTGTAGGTGATATATAATTTATCTGATTGTCAACATTGAAGTCAGAAACACAATAATTAATTTAATAATTTATTACAAATTGCTGGCATATTATTAAAAATCTTTGTTATCGAGTCTTATATTAACTGAAAATTTACTGTTCTGTACTTTTGTTGCATTTTGTATTGCATAGTTTTGAGCACACCCAAAACAAGAGATTTGGGCCTTAAAATAAGTTTTTATTTGACTTTCGATTTGATTTAAAAATTATGTTCTTTAATTAAGTTTTGTAGAATTTTTGCTTTGCGAATTAAGGACTTTTGATTGATGCTATTTTTTGTTTTAAATCTCAGTTAAAAAGCGGAAAACTTGATGAAAAGACTTGAATGTATAACGTATAAAATACTTGAATGTAGAATTTTAAAAAGCACTACTTAAACTGGTCCAAACATATTAAATTAAAAGTATAGCATATTTTATTGAGTTTTTAATTTGTTCTCGCATAAAGGATATCTCTTAAACGGGTGCTCCATAACATGGGATTGTTTCGTATGCAAATAATTTGTAAAAAATTGATAGCTCTTTGATGCCCTTTATAAGGCGTATAGCTGCCATAAATAGTTAAACTTCTACTTACTGTAACTGCGCACCTGGCAGAGCAGCTGGATGTCTGTGATGTGAAGGCGCAGCGGCTCCCTGTGGCACCATTGGACGCGTCTCAGCTTGCGGATGCGCAGCTGTCGCTTGCAGTGTAGCTTGAATTTCAGATTTGGATGCCAGACGGCAGCGCTGTCCAGGCGCGTGACACACTTGAAGGCATATTGCCACCACAAGCGACTGTTGTGCTTTGTGCTATGCTGTTTGGCGTTTCAAATATAATTTGTTGTTATGGCCATAATAATAATTTTGATTTGTTTTCTTTTCTATTTTTTTTTTTTTTGGCTTTATGACGACTTACCATATAAACGGGCAAGACGTAGAAACGCTTGCATTCCCGCCGCCTAAAGTTAAACGCTATCGGCTGCCGCTGCGTTGTCGACACCTTTGTCAGGTGCGAACGTATGGCGCTCGAGTGGGTCGCTCGCTGGTGCTGCAGCCGGGCCTATTGTAGTCGTTGTTGTTGTTGTTGTTGTTGTGCGTTAGGTTTGCCAAATCGGTTCGGAAATGGAATTGAAAATGGAAGCGAGACAGGCGCGCACAGGCACGCGCACTTAATTAATTCGTTTTACAAACAATGAACATATTTTCTATTTATTATTTATACCCTAACATATTTGTTAACAGAAGTAAACCTTGATAGTATGTGGAGCTTGATCGGAGTCGCGAGCTGAGCTGATGCGCCACTCTCTGGGCGCCCATTAGACCCGGAACTCAGCTTACTTTGCGAATATACTTTTGAAATTTTGTACAAATACTTTTTTTTTGAAACAGGTAGATAATAAACTGATAACAGCTGACTTGATTAGCCATATCATAGTAATAGTCGAGCGAAAACTGAGTCGAATAACTTAAAACTCAAATTAAAAAAAAACTTTTTTGGGAGGAATCCTAATCCTAATCCTTATATGGTATATGTTATGGAAATGTAGCCCGATTCTTGTATATAAAAAAATATAAACGGTTTTCTATATATTTTCAGTACAACGGGCAGCTGGAAAGAATTGTCTAAGAATTAAATTATCTTAAAAAAAAAAAATGTTTAAAAAATTGACAAATCAAGACCTGCTGCCAGAGCCGAGTCATAACGCAGGCATGGATTCGAGCCTGCTACCAAAAAACTGACATATTGTTTTCTTATTTTGCGACCTTGATACGAGTAAAGCTGTTGATGTTGATTTTATCTAATAAAAGTTTATAATCTAATAAAAATTTATGATTGTATTTTTTGTCATATAAACTTGATTTTTCTTAATTATATTTATATTGGTATTTATATGGGTGTGAATTTTGTTATTATTATAGAATACTATACTATACTATTATATTTTTTCTACCAGAGATTCGAACCGGGATCCTGCTTTAAGAGCTGCCAGGGACGCACCAAGAATTGCCTTTTATTTCATTTATTATTATTATATATTATATTATTATTATTATTATTATTTATAATATATTATTTTTATATTATTGTATATAATTTATTATATATTTTTTATTATTATTTCTTTATTTATCTAGCCACATCTGCTTCAAAATCTAGCCCTATATCTTAAGTCAGGTCTAAAAATCTTATTTAAATTTAAAATCAACTAGAAATTTCTAACAATTTATGGGCAAGTGTATCTAAACTTCAGCTAGTGCCAGATAATTATTTTTTTCCAAAGTTTAATATGCACAAAATGTTTTTGTTTCTTACTCTGTAATTCGCTTAGAAGAATGTTTGCTAAAATTTGGCTTGCAAATGATTCAAAGCCCGTTGCGATAAGTGAAACTTCATTCAGTTGGATTTGGGTGGGCTGCGGGTGGCGGGCTGCGGGCTGCGGGCGGCGGCCTCTGACTTCGGATTGTGGCCCCGCGGCCTTGGCCCTGAACTTGCTTATCAAGGCGGAGCAAAGATTTACAATTTGTTGTTGTTTACATAATTACTGTAAAAATTACAGTTGCAAGTTGTAAATTGTTTGTTAATCGCGAATGCGGTTTGAACAAATGCGAACTGACAGTCGAGAGCCGGGCACCAGAGTCCGAGACCGAGTCCGAGAGCGAGACCGAGACCCAGTCGCAGCTGAGGGCAATTAAATGCGCTTATCAGTTTTGGAGCCGTGGCTCGAATTAGCACCCCACACACACACCCTAACAGCCGGCCAGTATGGGGTTCTACGGTTCTGGGTTTTGGGTTTGGTGTTGGGTTCGGCTATTATTAAACAGTTTTACAAGCCGCTAACGTTTCAAAATTGTTGCTAATTAGTTGAATCGCGCACGCCGGCGCAACAGACCTTAAAAGCGCCCACGATAAGGTGTGCGGACTCTGGACGGGCAGGGAGTAGGGGCAGGGCTAGGGTAACGGCTCCGGGGTCCAATAAAATTCTGTACACATCGTCGTCATTTGCCAATTGTGTGTCACGAAGAGACAACAAAACAATCGAAGCGGGCCGAGATATGATTTCAAATTTGTGACAAGCGCTAAATAAGATTTTGTTGAAATTTAAAATTTGGCCAGAAAAAAAGTGTTTAGCAGAGAAGCGAGCCATTAATGACATCAGCTGACAGAAAACTTAAAAAGTTGTTAGTATTTGAAAAGAAAAAAGAATTTAACAACTTAAAAAAAGCAGCAAAGTTTTGTATTGCGAAAAAAGACACTCGAATTGAGCTTAATTTGAGAACAGATTCGATTTGAAACTTTTTTGGAAAAGCCAAAAAACAACGAAAATTGTTAGTAACTGGAAAAAAGAATTAAGCAACTTAAAAAAAGAATTGGGCTAAAAATTAAGTCACAAAATTGGCTTAAATAATGACACAAAATATCGCAAAAATACATAAAAAATGCTCAGTACTTGGAAAAAAAGCAAATTTCTAACTTAAAAAAAGAAGATTATTGAAGGGCACAAAAAAGACACTCGAAATTGTGCTAACTAAAAATAAATATGAATTGTAGTTGGAAAAATTGTCAATATTTAAAAAAATAAAGAATTTTGACATTGAAAAAAGAACCTACAGACTTAAAATTAGATTAACGAGTAATATTTTATTAGCAAGTTAAAGAAAAAAAGAAGCTTCGAGTAAACTAAAAAGATTCTCGAAATTAGCTGAGAAAATAATAAATTTGAATAGAAGAAAAAGTTGTAAATCTTAAATGGAGAAAAAATAAATTTTTTAAATAAAAAGTTCTATTTTGAGAAACCTTTCATGGTGTTTCCTATGTTCAAGGCTTATGACTCAGGTCTTTCTTTGGAAAAATAAGTATTCTTTCATATACGAAGTGCTCTTGAAATAATGCTATTTACACATTCATTCTCATAAAGTTAACAGCATATTGTTAATAGATCAATGTAAATATTCAATATGAACGTCAGCATAAAAACAAATTTAAAAAAAAACACTTTTTTTACGCTTGCTTGTGTATAGAAGATGACTTAAAAAAAAAAAAAAAACCAAGCGCACAAATTAAATAACAATTGATTTTATGTGAAGACTTTTTACTGATTTTATTATTGTATATTGTAAATTGACTGATAGACTTCAATTGACCTGCCCCTCTTGCCTGTACCAGCCCCCCCTGGTACGCGCCACACCTCAGGCAATAGAAAGTTTCTCAATTACTTTCAAAGTGACTTTTGGCAATCCTTGAACAAATAAATTAATAACTTAATTTTCCAATTCCATAAGCTTAAGGCAATCTCTGGTTATATCTTTATGGAAATCTTTCAATAATATCGCTTGGAAAATCTACAAAGCGCGCTTTTTCCTAAATATTCCCCATGTTGATCTATGTGCGTGTCACTAGGGTGTGCGAGTGTGTGTGTGCGTGTGTGTGTGTGTGTGTGTTTGCTGGGTTGTTACTATCTCTATCTGTCAAAGCGTTGCCTATGAATATGTGCGAACGTCGAGCCCGTGTGTTGTTATACCCTGTATCCATTGCTGAACTAAAGAGGGTATATTGCTATCGTTATTAACGCTTGACCAGTATTATTCAGCCAAATCGTTCTCGTTTTGTTCTTCTGTCTGTTCTCAATGAACTGCGAGACTAAACCATATATAAAAAACTTCCAGAAAAAATTCCGACAATTACGTAACTTTAGCTCCCAGTTCTGGGCATATTTTAAAGATTAAAAGCGACAGAAACGCCAAATATAGCTAACTTGAAGCTTGTCATTTATCACATGTAGAATATAGATACAATTTAACCGAGAGCTTCTTCCATTTTAACAAAAAACATCGACAAATATCCCCCTCTTTTGTTTGAGTAAAGAATTTCAATTGGGAATATGGGCAACAAATCGGACAGTTTATGCACTTCACAAATATGTTGCTTATTGGATATTGCAGCCTACTTGGTTAAGGTTACCCATTGATTAAAATCTAAAATATTTCTCTTTTAGAAAAGTGGAACATAGTAAATAAGCTCAAAATTAATTGAAATATGCAATTTAATTATGTTTTGGCGAGTTTCCCCCTTTGTCTAGTCCGAGCTGTGTACAGGGTATCTGCCAATCGAGCAGCCTTGACTTTCACACTCCCATTTGTTGTCATTGGCGCATATATGATTCAACAAGTGGGTATACAAAACAACTCCCACAAGCAGCAACACCACAATGCGACTCGTTTGAGTTTTACAGTTCAGTTCAGTTCAGTCGGGCGGCGGGGACAACGAGTCGAACCGAGTCGAACCGAGTTGAGCCGAGTCGAGCCGAGCCGAACGATCGACCGAACCGATCCGAACTACCGGTCGCTCGACCGATCCATTCCGTTCCCGTTTGCCGTATCGCGGGTTGTGTCAATTCGAAATTCGCATTCGTTGCTCGCAGATCGTTCGGTTCGGTTCGGTTCGGTTGTTGGTTGGGGGTATTTTTATTTTATTTTTTTTTAATTTAGCGGCCGTCGGATCTTCGAAGTAAAATTCATGTTAATGAATGTTAATTTATACATTTTGTAAGAATCGAAAATCTGTTTATTTCAACAACAACAACGGCAACAACAATTATTATTGAAAGAGCGCGCGCGCGAAATTGTTATTTGATTTTTGAAACGAGATTCGAGATTTATTGTGTTTTTGGCAGTGGCGAGTCGTGCATGGAACGTCGCGTAGATCGCATCGATAGGGTGTAAACAATAGCGCAATTGACATGGATCCCGATTTTGTGAACAAATACAATCAAGTGCTGAATCGCTTAAAGCTCGTCGAGAACTTCGATGGCACCGATCCCGGCAAGCTGCCGCAGTTTCTACACAAAATCGATGCCCTAATGCCCGCGATCAACACATTCGATGACTATTACAAGGCGCAGCTGATTGGACACATTAAGAACAAATGCACAGATCGGGCCAGAGATGCGGTCTTCACGCGACAGCTGAGCGCTCCGGCGGGCACGGGCAATGGCAATGGCAATGGCAATGGCCATGGCCAGGTGGGCAATGGTGGGGCTCTGCTGAAGGCAGAGTCCTGGCACAAGCTCAAGGATCAGCTGCTGCACAGCTTTGCGGAGCGCGAGTCCAGCTATGCGCTGATCCATAAGATTCGCAGTGCTGTGCTCGACTCCAACATTGAGCTGTACTATCAGAAGATGTCCAAGCTGAAGCAGCGGTTGCTCAATCGCAAGCTGACCCACAATGATACCCTGTACTCGCTGGAGGATATTGAGCGTATAACGCTGCAGGTATTTCGGGATCATCTGCCGGAGCCGACGCACTCGATGATCCTGCGACGCAATCCCAAGAGCATGGAGGAGGCCTATCGCTATATTGTCGAGGTGCAGCAACAGTTCTACACGCAGAGCGGACCCCTTGGCGGGGAGCAGGGCGCCACGTTCAGCACCAGCCACAAGCAGACCTTTGGCGTGGGCATGGGCGGCGTCGGAACGGGCACTGTGGGCTCCAGCATGGGCGTGGGCATGGGCCTGGGCATTGCGTCCGTGGGCCTGGCCAGCACGGGCTTCTCGTATGGCCGCCAAATGTCCGAGAAGGGCACCGCCGGCTCCACGCAGGGCTATCAGCAGAGCAACCGGAGCTACTACAATCAATCGGCGCCCCTGGTGGGCGCCGGCAAAACGAATCCCATGTTCAAAAGCAACGGCAATCCCTCCTTCAAGTCCAGCTTCAGCTACAGCGGCAGCAGCAGCATGAGCAGCGGCAGCGGGATGGGGATCGGCAGCAAACTGGACAAGAACAAGTCCAAGGATCCACTGAAGGGTTATCAGCAGGGGCAGACCAAAAATGTGAAGGCAAACAGCAGCGGCTGGCGGAAATAGGCAAATGCTCTCTGCTCCAAAGATTGGGTTTAGTCATGGGCCAATGAGCTAACCCAATGCCATGACCTAATCTCTTTCTCTAAATGCTGTGACTAAGCCCTGGCAGCGATTGCGATCGCGATTGCATGCCTCATGCTAATTACCCCAATCTAATAGTCAGGTGGATGGATGGATGCTGCGCTGACCGATGCCCGATGCCGTTGATGATTCTGTTTGTTATTGCTGATGATGATTGCAGCTCTGACACTAAAAACCCCGCCATGGCGCATGTTAATTATTAGATCATAAGTCTCAAATGTACATATATACGTTGCCCCCCCCCCCCCCTCCTTTCGCCAAACTACCCACCCACAAATCACCCGGCGCAACCCCCTCTCAAATAGTTGTTTACAATAAAGTGTAAAGTCTAACACTCGCCCATGGATGTCGTCTTCTTGGAATAGTTTGTCGCCTTCTTCGCCTATCTTATCATTCCCATATATCTTTTCAGATATCTGCCATAAATCAATGGATAGTTTGACGCCTATTTTGCTGTTTTATATCAGCTCAAATGCCATTCATATTAATTGGCCCAAATGCGTCACGTCACGTACAATATTTTGATTTGAATAAAGGCAAAAACAGGGCTGCACACTCGAAGGACTTGGGAAGTGCTCCGGTTCATAAGCTGGTTCCCTTTCTGATTCTTTAGTTCAATTATTTTTAAACCCCATTTAATGCTGTAAGCTATGAACCGAACCTTCAACTAGATAAATGCCCAAGGCGCAGCCGAACCACAGTCTGAACCAGATATTTTTTTTAAATAAAAAAAAAATCATTCTACTATAATTGCATTTTACAATTCAATAAAAATGAGTTATAATATTACTTAAAAGTTTTTACCAAAATTGACAACAAATTTGTTGATACAAGGCTCAAACCCAGACAACGAAATTCACGAACCGACTCAAGCATTGGCTTAAATCGTGAACCGAACCGCCAATTGCAAAATTTTCATTAAAAATGTAATATAAAAAGCTACAAAAATTAGCTGAAGCAAGGCTCAAACCCATTCCTGACTCCCTTGATATACAAAAATGATTCACGAAGCAAATCTCGTGACTCGATGTTGGTTTAACTCGTGAACCTAAACAGAATCCTTGACAGAAATTTGCTGAAACAAGGTTCCAACCCAGAACAGAAAAGAGATGCACGAATCGAACCTCGTGATTCGGCTTTGGTTTAAGTCGTGAACCTGAAACGCGAACAATTTTTTGTTCGTGCCCAGCCCTGTTATATATACATATATAGTTGCTTGGGGTACTCGGACTTACCGCATGCTGTGCTCCAGTGCGCGAGCCCGCGGAGCAGTTGTCATAGTTCGTGTCCGGAGGCGGCGGCTCGCTGGTCTCCTGCAGCTTGACGGCGCGCGACTTGGTCTTGTCGCGCTCCGGCTTGCCGAAGAGTCCGCGCCGCTCGGCCATGCGGATGAGGTACTTCTCGTTGAGCTGAGTGAGCGCCTTGCGGCGCACGAGCGCAAGGTAGCTGCCCGTCGCCAGCTGCTGGATGCAGTTGTCCTGGTTGATGCAGATATCCGGCACAGTGTCCTGGACGAACTCATCGATGTCGGGCGTCACAATCAGATCGATGCTGTCCACGCGCGGCAGCTGGACAGCTGGAGTTGGTGGCTCGCCCGGCTTGGCGTTCAGTTCTGGTTGGGATTTGCGCTTATCCTCGGCGGCCAGTTTGTCCTTTTTGCGCGGCGACTCCTTGGACATGGCCGCCGCGGGTATATTGGCCGCCTCAGCCTCGGCAATGGCCTCCAGACGCTTCACCTCCCGGTACGCCTGACGATGCTTCTCCAGCGCCAGCCTGTTGATCACGCCCAGCACATGCTGCACCATGTCCTCGTTCTCGGTGCCGACTATCGAATGGGTCTGATAGAGCACAAACTGGATCTGCGGCCGCGACATCGACATGGTCAGCGTGAGCAGCTGCTCCTCCAGGATGCAGCCCACCCGTTGTTTGCCCTCGTCGCTGACCTCCGATTCGGTGAGCACCTCCAGCATGCTCAGATCGCCGCCGCGCGAGCAAATCAAATCAATTGGATCCGAGATGGCGCTAAATGAATTCGGGGGCGTGGCAAAGACGCCGACAACACTGCGAAAGCGATTCGATTCCATGGGAAAGGAGGTGAAGGCGTCGCCAAAGAGCCGAATATTGCTGACCTGCTGGGCAAGATTGGGGCTCAAGTGGGATATATGGGAAAGTCATAGACGGAACTTACGCCTATGGTTTCCATGTAGCGTCGGTATTCCTTGAGATTGGCGCCCGCGCCGTAGACATAAAAGTTATTCACGCGATTCACAGAGTAGAAAAGTGCGGCCAGGTAGGCCGTGGAGCGGGGCGAGTCCACGTGGGTTTGCAGTATGTCACCTGGTTGACAAGGATATCAAGAATAAATCCGAATAAATCCCGAAAATATAAGCCTAGTTACCATATAGCTCGAAGTAGTCCATGAGCTTGGACATGATAGCCGGGCCATACGAAAAGTTTTTGTCCTGCAACACGGAATTCTAGAGAAAGCTGGCCAGGATTGGGTGCAGACCAAAGCTCACCTGCATGATAAAGTAGTGCTTGGTCATGAGCCGCGACTTGGTGAACTCGCTGCGATCCTTGGGTATAATGGATATCACCAGCGGACAAATGTTGTCCCATTTGCAGTGCTGCTCCAGCAGCGGCTGCTCATCCTCCGGCCCGTGCACCGTGTAGCCCATCTCCATGAGTATCTTGTTCGCCTCCGACTTGTTGCTGGAATGAGAAGGTAGTCAAATCTAAGCTGGCCATGGGCTGGGCTAATTTACCGCAGCAGAAAGGGATTTATCCAGCCGGTGACAACGGGATTGGCCGCCGCAATGGCCACCTTCTCGTTCTGCAGGTGGATGGGCAGCAGCTGGGAGAGTCGGAGAGCGCCGACGCCGATCCGCATGCGGGAGATGGAGGCGGCCAGGCGCACGCGATGCTGCCACAGCACATTCGCAATTTCTGGCGAGGATTGCGGTGTCAGAGATTAACTTGACTGAGATGGCCACCTACCTGTTACTTGCGCCTCCTTATAGAGCTGCGCCTGTTGTTCCTGATATTCCGAGTTGCGATTCTTGAAGTCGCGATCGTACAGCTCGAAGAGCATCAACCAAACGCGCTGCTCATCCTCGATGTACTACGGAAATATATATACAGATAGATATATATATATATATATATATACTAAGGATATATAAATATGTGTTTATTTTATTTCAGCTTTCACTTTGCCAGAAATTTTAGATCCACGCATTTTAGTGAAAGCTTTCATTTCCACGCAGTTTGTCAGCTTTCGATCAGATAATTCTGTGAAACTGAGCTTGAATTTCGCGCATTTTCCGCTTTCGGAGGTGGATTACGCAAATATTGAATATGGAATTGAAGAACTTTGAAAATAAGGTTTAGGCAAGATCAGTCAATCAATCAGTCAGTCAGTTATGATTGAGATACATAAATATAGAACCTGACTTTATTTTACCTTTTTGTGCTGCTCCTGCTTAAAGAAACCGATATCTGACAGGGCGTTACACAACACTGTTTTATCTGAAAACAAAAATTGAGATTATGTCGGATGAAATCTGAGAGCAACCGCAACTCACAGCGAAAAACATCGTAGATGAGCGAATAGGCCAGTCGCATCTCGTGCTCATTTTGAAAGACAACGGCCAGGGCGGGTTTCCGCAACAATTTGGCCGCATTCGCGATGGTGGGCAGATTCCAGCGAGCGCTAGCCTTCAGCCGGATCCGCACCGTGGTCGCATGACAGTGCTTGAGGACGCGACTGCGCCGACCGTTGGGACTGATGCTGGGCGAGATGATTTTGGTGATGCGCTCCGGATCGAAGACGGGCTTGTCCCGCTTATCGATATCCTTGAGGGATATATTGATGTTGCCGGACTCGTTCACCTGGCGCTGAATCTCGAGCAGCATGAAGTACATCTTGTCCTGCCACTCCTCATCGCTGGGCAAATAGATTTGCTTGGCTTTGCGCAGCTGCGTGCTGCGCTCCTTGAAGATGGCCGGATACACGGAGAATATGTCCGCCAAGCTGAGAAAAAACAATTGATTCGACATGGTTGGTCCGCACGCCTGCAACGAACAGCAGCAACTGCTGCCAGCCGCCAGCTGCCAGCCTGTTGTCCCAATCCCCCCTCCCTCCGACAGTGACAACTGCTGATTTCCATTTCCATTACTAAATTCATATTCTGGTTCGTGCTTAACACCAATTCAATGCTCTGAGCGAATCGACAACGATTGCCAGCTCCATGCAATACTTATCTATCTCGCATGCCTCAGGCCCTGGCAGGGCCCACTCTCTGCCTGCACTGGGAGAAAAAAATAATATACTCTTATATATTATTATTAATATTATAAGATTCGATATGAATATAATAGAATATATAAATATTATGACGAAAAGAATAATATTTAAAAAATGAATATTTTTTTTACGAATTTTAAGACTTCTAAATGGTTTTTTTTACTTGTACTTAGATTAATAATAATTAATTATAAGAAAAAAATGAAGAAAATATTAAAAAAAAAGAAAATAATACGTATAAAAACACATTTAAGAAAATATGTTACTCTTGTTGAACTTTTCGTTATTTTTATGCTCCTTATTTAATAGGAATTTCCGTCAATAAATCAAGTACATGCAACATTCTGCCTGTCTAGATTTTTTCTCTCAGTGCACAATTCATGTGGAGCATGCAATATGCACGCTATTGCTCACCACAAAGGACAAAGCGTTCGTCAGTTACGTTAGGTTCCATTTGGGCCGGAGACGGCGGGGTCTGGGTCTGGGGCCTGTGACGGATCTGGCCGATATCACACTTACCTTTTATTTTTTACGGCCTCAGCACGCGGCCATAAATTCCGTTTGCCATATTAGATGGGCGGTTGGGGAGTGGGGGGGAGCGACTGGTTCGCATGATTTGCTCTGATTGGAAACCGTCTTCAATAAATTGCCAAATGTCACAGTCCAACGCCCGTTTGACGCAAGTTGCAGGGGCACGGGCGGGGGCGTGGCAACCACTCGCAATTCTTCAAATGTGTTTCCATTGATTAGACTAAGGCCCAAGTCCCCGGCCATTTGAGGAACGCTCAATTTGGTATTAGGCAGCCATCAAATTAGTCATCGATTATCCCTGGAGGCGGGGCAACCGGAGAAGGTTACAGCTAACTGACGGGGGCGGGGGGAGTCAGCCAGCCATTTGTTGGGTCGTCATTTCTATATTGGCCTAGGTCAAATATCGATTATCGCCGGCTGTCTATTGGGTCAGATTCAAATTGAATGTCAATTTGATTGGCATTTCTGGGTTACAAGCTCTTGCGGAGGATTCTCTTATAATAAATATATATAGACATATCTTTCGGCTCGGGTAGCATTATAAGTTTATCACGAAATGTGTAGGAGATTGTAGAAGACATACCTGCAGCTATAAATCTCTATGCATAACGCTGTTTGTCCCGACTGATTGACTGGCTGATTGACTGATTGATTGATTGGCTGACAGATTGCTGGGAAACTGAAATTTACAATTTGGTGGGTGAGTTTTCGTGTGTCTATACGAATAATCACTTCAGACACGTTTCACACTTTTCGCAGAATCCAAGCGTCGTCGGTGAAAAAAACGATTCGTGCATGTTTGCCTTGTACATATGCAAACATGCATGCATACAATATTTACATGCATGCATGCATTTATACATATATATGTATGCGAGACTGCATGCGTTTATGCACTTATACATGCATGCATGCATGCTTTTTTACTTATATACATGCATGCATGTATGCATTTTTAAATATATACATGCATTTTTACTTATATACATGCATGCATGTATGCATTTATACATATATGTATACCAACATTCATACATGCAAACACACATACATACATGTGTACATATATACATGTGTACATGCATACATGTCTACATACATACATGTGTACATACATACATATGTTCATGCATACATGTGCGCATACATACACACACACGCACATACATACATCTAGCTACATATCTACTTACCCGCCCACCTCCTCCTGCGCTGCCTCCACCTGCTCCACCGCCACAAGTTGCTCCTCCACAACCAAAGTTTCCTGCCTTGTGAAATATCAGCAAGGCCTACTTGAATTCTTGAGAATCGAGGAGGAGAGCACTTGGTAGAAATTCGTTTTATTTAAATTTCCAGCACATCTGCAGAAAATAAACATGCATGCACACATATAAACATATACATACACTAACACACACACACACACACACACACACACACACACACACACACACACACACACACACACACACACATAAATAATACTTATACATCGTACAAAATACTTATTATATACTTTATTCCATATGAGGTTTATACGATAATAAATTATAATCTAATAATCTATATGTAAAAGTTGATCGGATCGGTTCGCTATATCCTATAGCCAAAGCCATAATTGGAGTGTGTAAGGAGATAAGTCTCTCTCTACCTCTCCAAAACCTGTCTTTGTTCCAACTACTTGCTTGACCGGATCGGGCAACTATATCCACTAACTGCTTACAGGAAGGAACTAAGTCTACAAATACATGCCTTATGGCGCATGTCCAGGGTATTCAATCGTCGGCACCTTCCGGAATATGTTTGGCACATTGTTGTTAAATTTTGATCTAATTTACGGGCTATAGGGTGACTAATCTGGGCATGACGAATCTAGACGCCTTCGGCCAGTGGCCATTATAATGATAAAACAGTTTATGATTCTCATATCTAGCTGCGATCAGCGGGATTTTTGGCCGAACCCGAGTAAAAACAATATACTATACCATATACATTTTATAGTACACCTCTATCTAACTACATACATGAACTTGAGCTGTCGTCCGGCTCGGCCCGGCCCGGGTTGTCTGCTATCGAAACTCTATACGGAAAAAAATAGGGAAAGATAATTTAATTATTCTAAGCATTAGGAACCTGCAGCAAGTTGTGCAGGTTATCAGAACGTATACGTCAAAGATAACTCAAGTATCATAATTAATTTCTTCAGCTATTTTTTATTCCATTCTTTTTTTTTTCTATAAGCTACCCAGGCTTAGTTGGGGGCGCAGAGTGCGTGTCATCTGGAAATCCACCGTCATAAATAATATTTATTTGAGTTGGTTTTGTTTTGTTTTTTTTTTTTTTTTATTAAGAAGCATATTTATTATATATAAGATGTATGTAATACAATAATTTTTTGTCTGTCCGGTTGGTTGGTTTTTGTTGTTTTTTTTTTTTTGTTTGTTTTACTTTTTGGGCTTTTTTTTCGGTTTTATCCATTTTATATAATCATATAAAACACTGAGCAGCTACAATACAAATATTGTGATAAAAACTTACAACATAACCTTTAATACATAAAAATACTTGCATAGTCTACAAATCGTATCGTTTATGGAGATGCAACTGCTGCTGCTTCTTCTTCTGCTGCTGCTGAGCCAAATGCCGTTATCTACTGCTGCTGCTGCTGCTGAGCCAAATGCCGTTATCTACTGCTGCTGCTGCTCTCTCGCGCTCTCTTTCTGTCGCACATCTCCTAATTTGTTCTCTTGTTTTACATATTTTTTTTTTTGCGTTTGCTTTTGCTTTTGCCTTTTCACTCGCCTCATTGCACACGCCGCATTTGGCGATTGTTTTTTTCGGTTGGTTTCTTTTAGTTTTCCGTTTTTAGCCTATTCAAAATTTGTTATCTTCGCTTTTGTTTTCTTTCTTTTTTTTTTTTCTTTTTTTGTATCTTTGCTCGCGGCGTGGGCGGGTGCAGAACGGTCGAACATAGAGTTGAGTGCGATCGAGAAAAAAAAAAACACACACAAAACAAAAAAAACAACGGCATATTTTTAGGGGCGCGGCCGAGTGTTAAGAGTTGAGAGTTCGCATTGCCCCGCTGAGAAATTTGCCAATAATTTGCATGAGTTAAGTGTTCCGTTTTTTGTTTCTTGTTTTTGTTTATATGTTTCTTCACAATATTCTTCGACTAAGTTTGATGTTCTGTTTGTTTTTGTTATTTGCAGCGTTAATTACAATAGAAATTATGTTTATGTTTATATATATTTGCGTAATTAAAATTAATCATTTATCGTATAAAACATATAAAAAAATTAAAAAAAAAAATGGAGGCGCCAAAATATATGTTTAAAAAATATATATATATATATATAATTTTTGACTACACAAATTTATTTAGATTTTTTTTTTGCCGAGTATTTTTTGTTGTTATTTTTGGTTCGAATTCGTTTTGGAAAACATAAAGCAACGTGTGGGGTGGGGGGAGCTGGGAGGGGGTTGGGAGTGCGAAGAGCCCGGCCCGAAATCATAAGAAACAATAATAAACAAAGAATTTAACATACAATTGTTGATGTTGTTTTTTTTTGTTTTTGTTTTTAGTATTTTTTTTTGTTTTTGTTTTTGTTTGTTATTTTATACACATCTTTATGATAGGGGCGTATATAATGTATGTATATATAATTATAAGTAATAAATTTTCAATATTTTTATTTAATTATTTGCACACATGAATAAAAAATTACTATTTGCAATCATATATATATAAAAAATAAACTTAATTATCAGCAGCGGTCCCTCATCTCGTCCCCTTGTCACATCCTAAGCATCACCTGCTACAATTATCATACACATATATATATATATATATAGCTTTATATATATATATATATATATGCGTGTGTGTATTCGCCTTTCGTTTCAACCGTTCTTTCTTTTCGTTTTACTTTAAGCTTAATCAATTTTGGAAGAGTAAACAATACCATCGAGTTGCTGCATTATGCATTTATGTCTGTCTGTGTGTGTGTGTGTGTATGTGTGTGTATGCATGGCTGTGTGAGTGTGTCGAGCGCGTGTGAGTGAGTGAGCGAGTGAGTTAGTCTGTGTGTGTGTGTGTGTGTATTATGTAGATCGCTTGAATGAAAACTAACGGTTAATGCGTATTTTAATGTTGTTCTACACCTGCTCCTCTCTCAACCGTTTCTCTCTCTCTGCTCTCTCGGCTCTCTTTCGCTCACTTTGATTTACTTTTCATTTGAGTTTCTTTAACTAATTTTTTATAATTTTTTTTTTTTTTGTTTTTCTGCTTCATCTCTTATACGTATAAACTTTTATAATTTTATACTAAAGGTTTTTACCGTTTTCATTTCATTTTTTTGGATTTTGTTTTGTTTTGTTTTTTCTTTTCCCTTTTTACTTTGTATATATATAAAAAAAGATGTCCAAAGTTTTTACGTTACGTTATTGTATATACGTGTTTTTTTTTTTTGTTGGTTTTTTCTTCTTTTTTTTTTTGTAGTTTTTAAAGTGGATCGTTCTTTTTTTTTCTTTTGTTTTTTTGTTCTTAACTTGTTTTTGTTGTTCGTTCTGCCTGTTTGCTTTACAGTTGTCCTATGCTTTAAATGATTTTTCTTTTTTCTGCCTTATTTTTTTGAATGTTTATATATGAGCGCAATGCGCCAATCAGCGCGTTTACTATATATATATATATATAAATATATATATATATACTATAGATATAGTAATAGTATCGTACTATGTATATATGTGGGGTTGTTGTTTGCCTTCCGTCCTTTGCTTGTTTTTCTTTTCTTCATATATATGTGAATATATATATATATATATATATAAATATATATATATATATGTATGTATATATATGTGTGTAACTAACGGCGCTTTACTTTGTCTCTTCCTTCTCCTTGTTCTCCTCGGTCGACTCCTTTTCGTTCGACTGTGGGGCAAATGGGGAAATCATTAGTCATTAGTCATTAGCCAGCATTCATCAGTCATTAGTCATCAGTCATTAGTCATTGTTCATTAGTCATTAGTGGACAATAATATCAATTGAATTGTGAGCCTTACCTTGTCCTTCTCCAGCTCCTTCTCGATCTTGTCGCCCTCGGGGCCCTCCTGCTCATTTGATTTCTCCTGCTCGCCGCCTTCCTTGCCCTCCTTGGTCTCGGGTCTGCAAAAAAAAAAAAAAAAAATAAAGGAGTAAATTTCAATTTATTTAAACGGCATTTTGTACTCACTCTGGCTTGGGAATGTGCGCATTCAGATCGAGCTTTGTGCAAATCTCATCCCAGTCGGGGAAGCACTTGTCCTTCATGCGCGACACATGCCCAATCAAATTGGGACACTTCTCGGTCATATAGTCCCGCAACGGATACGCAATATCCTTGGACAGATAGTGCAGCTGTGAGAGCACCGCAAATGCGACCACATCCAGGGTGGTCGGCTCATCGCCAAAGAAGAACGGCTTACAGTCGAGCATCTCGCTGAGCACCTTCAGATCGTTCTTGCCAAACTCCTCGATCTCCTCGGCGCTGTGCACACCGATGCCGTGCGCCTTGAGCTTTTTCGTACCCTGGAACCACTTGTTGTGTTGAATATTGGTTGCCAAATATGTGTTTTTTTTTTTTCAATGTTAAACAAAATGCAGAGGATGCACAACGGGCAACGTGCAACGGGCAACGGGAGTTTTGTTAGGAGTAGTTACACAATATACACACACACACACACACACACAGAGAGAGAGAGGTTAGCAGTAGTAGAGGAAACACCATCGAAAATATCAACATAAAAATATATATCATAAAAAAGAAACGAAAAAAAAGAGAAAAAACACCATGCAAGAGTTAGTGATAATGAATGGAATTTGGTTTGGTTTTTTTTTTTTCATCTTAATTTACTTTATTTTTAATTTTTGCTTTAAATACAGCCTTGCAGCAGATATAGACAGTCGATTATAGACATATCTGATCTGTTCTCGGTTTTATCTTGATCAGACTAACTATGGATCCTTCCTTTCATATAACTCATAGAGTTCATCTAAATATCGGATGACTATATCGGATTACTATTTCACATATACACAGTCGTGTATATACATAGGTCCTTCTATGTCCTTCTATTTGATCCGATCTCTCAGTCTTAATCTTGATACAGCTTTATACTACTATATCATATAACTGCATAATTCTGCTGTCTTTTATAATAATATATCAGCTAAATCTTGCCAATATCGGATGACTATATCACATATAGAAGGTCGAGTATATATAGCCATCTACATCTATTTGATCTGATCTCTCAGTCTTAATCTTGATATAACTAGATATAGATCCCTGCCTTTACAAGGTCAACAGATCAATTACAGTCAGATCGAACTACTATATCATATAATTTCAAATCTTGGCAATATCGAATGTCCTTCTATTTGATCTGATCTCTCAGGGTTAAACAATCTTATAAAACTAGCTGTAGATTCGTCTATTTATCAGTTTTACTTAGATCGCTTTACTATATCATATATAACTGGATAGTTTAGCTGTCGTTTATAATATATATCAGCTAAATCCTAGCAATATCGGATGACTATAACACATAAGCTGATTTCTTTACCAAATGTTTTACAAATCTGCCTGCAAGGGTATTCGATATTCGGTAAACCGAAAATAACTGTTCTATGTGTTATTGTTGTTGTTGTTGGCAATTGCGGTATTTGTATATATGATCATAATTGGGTTATATGAGAGGCAACGCTGAACATAAACAATTGGCAGGCACCGTTATTGTTTATGTCCACATGATATATGCAACTGTAAACAAAATTTCTGTTCGCTGCGACAGGCTCTGGCAATAGATCCGGCTCTAGTGTGCGTGTGTGTGTGCGTGTGTGTGTTATTGTTGTGGCAGTTGGAGTAGGTGCAACATAATACGGCAGCGATTCCAAGAGTCTGTTACGTTTGCCTTTTCATCGGCTTCTGTGTCAATTTGTTTATTTACACTAGCCAGGAAATATGCCAGAGCCAGATCCAGAGCCAGAGCCGGAGCCGGAAAACTCGACTCGAATTCCCAATAAACAATGCGCCGGTGCCTCAGTTCATGATAACTACAAACTAACTAAGGTTTGATGGACTTCTAGATTTCTCTATTACTCCAGTTCCAGATATATGTATATATATACACTCTGGTTACGCATTTCTGGCTAATTACCTTGCGACCGAATGTGATTTTGAAGAAAAAGTTCAAAATCGAATTGGGCAAACGCAGGCCGAGCGCATGCTGCAAATTAACTTTATAGCCCTTGAGCACATTGTCCGGATATTTGGCACGCCAGTAGAAGATGATCCAAATCAAATGATTCTCGAGCATGGCAATTGTGGCATAGGACACATTGCGCTGTTCAGCGGTCAAGCCGGCATCCAGATTCTTATCATACTTGGCCGATAGCTCCTTGATGATAATTGCCGAATCGGCGATTTCCTCGCCATTTAGCTCAATGAACGGCAATTGGCCCTTCTTGGAACGGAAACGCATCTTGTGGTCGACATTCTGGAAAGCGTAAGAGAAATCGCAAATTTAATGCATTAATAATGAGTAAGTGTTGAGTAATGATTCAAAGGTGAGGAGGGGGGGCTGAGTAATATGCTTCGCTGCGATTGCTGGGGTGGGCGGTTTCTCTTGATATTTTTATTCTCAATAACTTTTTCCATATCGCGCATTCCGATTCATGGATGTAGGCATGTGTGTGTGTGTGTGTGCGTGTGTGTGTGTGTGTGTGCGTGCATGACTAATGTGCCTGTAATGTAGTTCAATCTCTGTCTCCCACGCGACCCGGCGCAGCCTGTTTGGATGTACCGGCCGCTAGATGGCGCTCATGACATATATAGGCCTGTATACACACAATCGCATATATATGCATATACGCACGCATACTTGCACACTTCCATATATATATATATATATATGTATGTATGTATGCCAAAAGCGAGATGCTTGCTGCCAAGCGAAACAACCACTAGAAAAAGCTGTACCGAAAAATCAACCAACACCCAACTACCCCCACTGTGTGCGCACTCACACATATACACACAGCGTCGTGCTGCTTGTAAAATTACACACACGAACGCACACGAGACGAGGAGTTGGAAAATTTCCAATTGCCGCTTTTTGAATTTGGCATATTCCAGTGTCAAAGCTGCTGCTCGCCGCCGCCGCAGCCGACTTCCAGTGTGTACACGTACAATATGCATGCGCCGTTAACCGTTACAAAAAAAGTGACAGTTATGTCCGGCACATTTTGAGCTAGCATGTGTGCGTGTGTGTGTGTGTGCACATAATTTCTAATTAGAAATTGTCCACAACAAAAGCGGACAGTCATATCGGGGCGTAGCATATTTCATGCTTTGGCGCGGAGGGCAACAAACAGGGCAAACAGGCAGGGTGTGGTTGCAAACTCGCACACAGCAAACGAGAGAGAGAGAGAGAGAGAGAGAGGGAGACAGAGAGCGTAGTCAGAGGGCGAGTAAGCAAAAAGAGATTATGTTTTCCAGCCGCAGCAGCAGCAGCAGCATCGTTGCTGCCCAGGCTGAAAAGGGTGGAGTCGTCATCGCCGTCGTCGTCACATTTAATTCCAATGATCCACAAAAAGGCTGCCTCGAAAATGGAAGAAGCTGCCTCCAACGCATAACTGTCGCCACCACCGCAACGCAGCAGCAGCAGCAGAGGCAGAGGCAGAGACAGCGACAGAGGCAGAGGCAGCGGCAGCTTTTGCCGGCGACGCATTGTCGCTACACAATGCAAATGTTTATTTTTTATTAAATCATTATGCCAATTAAGCGGAGACGGAGCTCAATTTTGGCGCAGTGTGTAGAGTTTTGCATTGGCAACAATTGGATGCATGCTAAAGACACGACAAAAATGAACAAGAACAAGAACAAGAACAGGGGAACAACAACAACAACAACCAACACGCCATGCAATTATGCAGCGCTTGCGTGTGCATGTATGTGTGTGTGTGTGTGTGTGTGACTTGGAAATCCACACCCTGCCTTAAGTACAAAGAGCGGAGTTTTAGCAGAGAGCGAGCGAGCGAATGAGCAACAACAAAGGCAGTGACTGTCGCCGCAACCGTTGCAGTTATTGCATATGTATGCGCAGTCTTTGTTTTGAGGCAAATATGCGGCTATTAATTAAAATATAAAAAAGAAACAACAACAAAAACGAGTAACGTTTGACTGCATTTGTCGTTGGCATTTTTAAAAAGAAATTAAAACAACAACAACAAAAAAATGCAAAACTCCACTTCCCCTCACACACACACACGCACACACACACACACTAGCGCTGCTGCCGCCGCTGACTTTGCAGCGCTCACACGTACAGTTGTACTCATACAGGGTTGCCAGACCGTGCCGATGCGTCAACACTTTGTGCTGGCAATATGGCACAACGCGCGAACATTTGAATAATTGTGAATTGTAAAAAAAAAAAACGGATGTGTGTGCGCCTGTGTGTGTGTGTGTGTGTTCGGTGTTGCGGCTTTTGCGCCGCAATTTCCACAAATGAATTGAAAATGGAAATTTATGCACGCACAACAACTGCCCAGCCATCGCTGTTTGGTTTCATTTGTAATGCATATTGAAAAAGTGAATTAATTGCACAATATACATGCATAAATACTTACGAATGGCAGTCACATTGGAATGCCAACTATGCGGGCGGCAATAAGCAGCAGCAGCAGCAGCAGCAGCAGCAGCCGCGCCTTGTTGTTGTAGCTGCTGCCTGGCGTTGTTAATGATTTCGACACGCTCGCTACACGCTTGTGGTGTGAAAAAAATATGCGTTTGGTTTATCACCCGTCTCCTGCTGCTGCATTTGTTTATTTTTGGGCAAGGCAAAATGTGCGCCTGCCTTTTAAATGTATACAAAATGCAGCAATGCGTTCACAATAACAACAGTCAGCGCGCGGCCATGATGGGGGTGCGACAGTGAGGGGCGGGGTCGATATCAGTCGATTTCATTAACGCGCGCCCTTCTGCATTGTTGGCATTGTGTTTAATGAAAATGTCAAAGGTCCATTTCGATGCATTCAGTTTGTTGAACTCGCCGCCGCCCAAAGCTCTTATCATAAGGCGGAACAAAATGGAAAGTGCGCTGCGACTGCGTTGTCGTTGTGTACATTGCGTACACATTGCACGCACACACACGCACACACATTTATATCTGACGTACTGTCAATCATAATTGCCTGCGGCTGCCGGCTGCATACAGCAGCAGCAGCTGCCGTTACTTTCCCATTGCAGCCAAACGACGATAAATCAATTCAATGAGCCGCAGCAGAGGCAGCGGCAGCGGCTGAGGCAGCGCGGCAGCATATGGCAAAAGCTGCTGGCGCATTATCAGCTTAGGAAGGGAATTTCATCTCGCGAGCATCAATTAACATTCTTACAGCTCACACTCACTCCGGCTACCCTTCCGCGCCGTCTCTTACGCCCCCGCGCACTCATTAAGCCATGTAATTAATAAGATTAAAGAAAACAACAATTGCGTCGTCGTCGCTGCCGCCGCCGCCTGGGGCCGCACCCATTTTTGTAAGTCTATAAAATATGAAGGAAAATATATGCAAAACGCATCGCGCACGCGCCTAAAGCTTTAAAACTTTTGGAGCGTCGCGAGCTCTGTTAATGGACAGTGGGGCAAAATGAGCGCTGGACAGTCGTCGGACAGTGGAGACGGTTATTTGTCTAGCTGGGCTACTTAAAGATAAGGCGCAGTAATAAGAGTGGATAGCGGCGAGGTAGGGTTTGGGGGGGGGGGGTTTTAGCGCAGCAGCAACAATTTTTTTATTAAAAGCAATTACAAAACGGGCACAAACGGGGCTTGGAATTTTTGTGCAAGGCAAAGACAGAGACTGAAAAAAACTAAATGAAGCAGAGCTCGCTGCAGCTGCAGCAACAAAGACAAAGACCAGAGTATTAAATGGGAGCTGCTGAGAGCGAGCGCATAAATCGGAGAGAGAGAGAGAAGAGAGAGAGCGCCAGCGCCAAGTGCAAAATTTGAAGCACAACTTCGCATTGGGGAAGGGTGAGGGAGTCAGTTCTGTTCGTGTGTGTGTGTGTGTGTGTGTGTGTGTGTCGGTGTGGAGTATAAAGCACAACTTATGTGAGAGAGCAGCGGCGAGACGTTGACAACGAAACAGCAGCTAGGCAGAGGCCAGGCCAGGCCAGGCCAGCCAGGCACAGCGCAGCGCTGCGGCGTCGGCGCACACACAAATTTTATGTATACGCTGTTTCATGTAGACGCACACACACACACACATACACATGAACAGACAGGAATAAAATCCAGCAGCAGCAGCAGCAGCAACAACAAAACGGCTTGCCTGGCTCGCTACAGGTTCAAATACGAGTACACACACCCATACATCCACGCATTGGAAGTCTGCCTGTGTGCGTGTGTGCCGGGATAGAAAGAAAAGGCAATGCTAAATGTATCCCTTTTCAGCGCATGCAGGCCTATAGGGCGCGGTGCGCGGGCAGGTCACAGGCTTAGCACACAATCATGGCGGTTTTTATGTATGGGTGTGCGTGTGCCTGTGCATGTGTGTGTGTATGGAAAAAAATCTCTACCGCAAAAATACATACATATGTATGCATGTATGCTAGGGGAAAAAAAAAATTTTGATGATGAAAAACCCGCCAGGGAAATGGGAAAATCATGTAAAAATTTAAAATATGTTTCACATGCAGCAAAACAGATAGATAGATAGATAGACAGAAAACATGATGCTGGAAAATTTTGGAAATTGGAAAATTTACCTCGTACTTGAGCGCCACCAGACGCAGCCAAGTCTCCACTTTCAGGCAATACGGTGAGAGAGACGGCAGCAGGGGAGTACGCGAAAACTGATACAGATAGATAATGTCCTTCTCAAAATTGGTCTTGTGCACATTGAACTTTTGTGCTGGGGCTTCTGATTTGGCTGGCGCAGCGGCAACATCGCCACCATCTTTCTTCGCATCGGCAGCGGCAGCTCCATCGGCAGCGGCAGCGGCTGGCGACGCCTTCGCATCCTCTTTGTTGTTGTCTTGGGCGTTGTTAGCGGCAGCGTTCTCAGCAACGGCAGCGGCAACGGCGACAGGCTCGGCAGCAGGTTTTTCCGCCTGCTCGGCAGCAGCATTTTCTGTGGTCGCTGCTGCTGCGGCGGCAACTGCTGGCGTTTCCTCAGCGGGTATTTGAGCTACTTCGGTTGCCATTTTTTTTTTCTTCTTCTTTCTATATTTCTTTCTTTTTTCTGCTTTTTATTCAATTTTTCTTCGATTTGAAGTTGCGCTTTCTTTCAAAATCTTCACACTTTTCCTTGTTCAAATGCACGCACTCACACACATACACGGATACGGGGCACGAGCACACACACAGAAAGACAGAGAGAGAGAGAGACGAAGTCACAGTCGAGTCGCAGTCGCAGAGTCACCACCACTACAGACAGTTTTTTTTTTTTTTTCAAAATGCACCACACAATTTGCGCACAGTTAAAAGGTACCGCACCAACCAGACGCAACCGCTCACAAAACAAAACTGAACGGTAAATTTCCATTTCAATATTTTCCAGCCATGGTAACATTCTGGCAGCGTTGCACTAGCAAACCTATCGAATTATCGCTGTTAACTAACCGTTGCTGTTATTAACAGCATAGCTCCACACACAATATGTGCTGCGGCACACTTTTCAACACTCACTCGTCATTTTCACAAACAAAGCGCGTCAAGTGCGACAGTTTTCGACTTAAATTAATTAAAACAGTGATTAACGCAAGTTTATTGAACCTTTAAACGATGGGCGCTGCATTGGGCCTCTGTTCGGTAGCGCAGGTGTGTGTTAACAATTAAATTACCCGTCTGCATATCCTGTAAAAGCAAATTGCGCATATGGTAAAAACTGCAGCAAAATCGATTCTCAGTGTTGGCGGCAATGGTGAAATAAAGGCTAAAAATAAACCGCTATGAATTAAATATAAATTATGCGGCTACATTTGGCAGCTTTGACTGAGTCGTGGCTAAAAATAAAACATTAAGATTAGCTAATTTCATATATAACTGCAGGAAAATCGATTTTCAGTGCTGTCAGTTTTGGCGACAACAAGGCTTTCCCGCTAAATTTGGCTAGATTTGCTTAAGAAAACCGCCAAAAAAAAACGGTCTAATTTGATTATTTCTGTTTTCAGTGTGCGCTCTGCTGCACAGGCACCGCGGCCAGCATGTGCTGCTCGGCCTGCCCCACCTGCAAGAACTCCTCCTCGTCCCGTTTCATGTACGCCTTCATGCTGCTGGTGGGCACGGTTCTGGGCGCCATCGCACTCTCGCCCGGCCTCCAGGGCACGCTAAAGAAGCTGCCGTTCTGTGTGAACTCCACATCGACAATTAGCTCCACGGCAATCGGCACATTCTCGGGCGGCACACTGCAGGTGGACTGTGAATATGCCCTCGGCTACATGGCCGTCTATCGGTTGTGCTTTGGTCTGGCCTGTTTCTTTACCCTGATGGCGGTCATAATGCTGGGCGTAAAGAGCTCTCGAGATCCGCGCTCCCACATCCAGAATGAGTTTTGGCCTCTGAAGTTTCTGATATGCTTTGGCGCCTCCATTGCGGCCATTTTCATACCGGATGGCTCCTTTGGACCGGCCATGATGTGGGTGGGCCTAGTTGGCGGGCTGGCCTTCATACTCGTCCAGCTGATCATCATTGTGGACTTTGCGCACAGCGTCGCCGAGAACTGGATTGGTGAGTTCCCGAGCTGGCATCTTTTACTGAATGTTGACTAATTCGACATTTGCTCATTTGCAGAGAATGCGGAGAACAATCGCGGCTATTATTATGCCTTGGCTGGCGTGACTCTTCTGGCCTACATAGCCTCCCTGACGGGCATAACTCTCCTCTACATCTACTTCACCACAGTCTGTATTCCATTTTATATTGATATTCATCTAGCAAACAATACGTTTTCTTTGATTTGCAGTCGACGGGCTGCGGCATCAACAAGTTCTTCATCTCGATTAATCTGATATTCTGCCTGGTTATCAGCATTTTGTCTGTGCTGCCCGCGGTGCAGGAACGCTTGCCCCACTCGGGACTGTTGCAAAGCTCGCTGGTGACATTGTACACCATTTACTTGACCTGGTCCGCTGTGGCCAACAATCCGGGTTTGTCTTGAATGAAGCAAACCACAATTTGTGCGTTTTATGCCCTCTCGTCTCTCGTCTCTCTCCCCCGCAGAAAAGGCCTGCAATCCGGGCATGTTTGGACTCATGGAGGGCTTGCCCAATGCCACCACCACAACCCTTGCACCGCCCACACCCAACTCCAAGGTCACCTTCGATACAACCAACATTATTGGCCTCGTTGTCTGGCTGCTGTGCATCCTCTACAACTGCTTCAGCTCCGCCGTCGAGGTCTCCAAGATTAACAATGACAACAGCGAGAAGCGTGGTACGTGCCCTCAGCAGCTCCTCCGCTCTACCCTTGCAGTGGGCCGCATTTGAAATGTGTAGCTTAATGTGAGAAGGACAAACTTCTGATCAGAGTCAAAAGTCGAATTCTGCCGTTTGTCTGTCAATTAGCTGCAAGTTTATTGCGATCGAAACTTGGCATAGATGCGAATTTATGCTGCGGTCTGTTATGTGGATGTCCAAGTCAGTCTGATCGGATCCCTATATCATAATGTAGCTACCTTAGTACTTAAGGATATCTTAACAAAAGCTCAGTATGATTTCAATCGTATCACAATATGGATTTTTGGTGCATCCATCTGAGCTGAACTCGACTTTTCTAGAAGCTATGTTTATAATGTCAATCGATATATACATTTATTTACCACACAATGCCTGCAAGGGTATTTAGTCTTCGGCAGTTCGAAGTGAAGTCTTCTCTCTTGCCTTGTCACGCACATTGCACAGTTTCATTGTTCCCGAGTTGCATAAAAAACCTCTCGTAATGCTTGTTCCATGCTCGCTTTTCATTTTCGCTGTACATTTACTGGCTAACTAATTAACTAACAATTTTCTCTTTATTTTATATTTATTGATTCATTTAAACACGTTTGTTTTTATCAACTTCCACTAATTGGTTTGGTAACGAAACTGTGTACAATTTGCCGACACCTTTAACTAATATAGTTTTAACAGAAGCTCTATCAGACACAGAGACGGGCAACGGCGCCGAGAAGCCCGCCACCGACAACGAGACCGAGGGCGTCACCTACAGCTGGACCGCATTCCACACCGTACTCGTTTGCGGTGAGCACAAATTGCGTCCACTTACATGGTTTAGATTAATATAAAATATATTTACATATTTGCAATCAGCTTCCCTGTACGTGATGATGACGCTGACCAATTGGTATAAGCCCAACTCGGACATAGAGCTAATCAATGGCAACGAGGCTTCCATGTGGGTCAAAATCATATCCAGCTGGCTGGGCGTATTCATCTACGGCTGGAGCCTGATTGCGCCCATTCTTCTATCCAATCGCGACTTTAGCTAAGCGGCCTTTAGCCAGCAGTATTGAAAAATAACATATTCTATGTATACGTATATAAATTATAAATGTAGGCGTGGTCTTTGATGCAGCCTGGACATGCCAAAATGCAACGGAGCGGTGCTTAAGCGAATGTTTGCCATGGTTATATTTACTCATTAATCGTACTCTCAATATATAACTAACTCTATATATATATATATATATATTATATACAATATCTGGTGTCGAGTGCTCACTCCGAATAAAGTTTAGAGTTCTTGCTGCTGCAGCTGTTGCGTCTGTTTGTCAATGCACTCCCGCAGACGCTGGAGTACTACGTTCTTGCCCAGTATTTCCATCATTTCCGCCACGCCGGGACCCTCCTGCAGGCCGCTTAAGGCGCCGCGCAGCGTTTTCATCAGCGCCGGAAACTTGAGTCCGGCGGCTTTCGCGTGGCTTTTGAACAGCGCATTTAGCTGATCCTTGCGGTATTCGGGCGTGGCGTCCAATTGCTGCAGCAGCTGCTCCAGCTGTGCTGCACTTAAATCCTTGAGCACAAAATTGCTCGGCTTGACCCAGAGAAAACTCAGCTTGCCGCTGGTGAGATCCTGCAGCAGGGTCAGACGCTGCGCTGCCCAGTGAAGCACCTCCACAATATGCGACTCGGCGAGGTCCAGATTGGAGCTGTGCATTGGAAGTGTTAACATAGGCATTCCATTTGGTTTCCCTTGAGAACTTACTGCATGGGATAGGCCTGCCTGACCAGCTGCTGCACGTGCTCCACTAGCTGCAGCCGGCTCTGCGGCACGGCCAGGCGCGCCTTAATCTCCAGCTGATTGTAGTCATTGAGCAGCTCCGCATTCAGGCGACTGGGATGCGCATTCACACGCTCCAAGCGAAACTCCGCGGCCAGTTGGGGTATGGAGTACAGCTGCGGCTTGGCATTGGGTCTGTGCTCGAAGCCGCCGCCGGCGGATACAATGTAGTTGAGCAGAGCCGTGGGAAAGTAGCCGCGTTCCCGGAACTGCTTAATGCCAATGTCACCCTGGCGCTTGCTCAGCTTGGTGCCATCGGCGTTGACCAGCAGCGGCAGGTGACCAAATTGTGGTGGCTGCCAGCCAAAGGCTCTGTGAGAAAGGAGATAAAAACCCAGTTTATTTCATGAAGCAGAAGGAATCCTTCAAGATTTACCCACTTGTAGAGCAGCAGATGCTTGGTGGTCGAGATTTGCCACTCGACGCCGCGCAGCACATGTGTGATGCGCATTTGGTGATCGTCCACGACGTTGGCCAAATGATAGGTGGGAAATAGATCGCTTTTCATGATAACCGGATCACCTTCCGTGGCGCTAACATTGTGCTGCACGCTGCCATAAATGAGATCCTGCAGCGGCTCCTCGTGCTCCGACAGCTTGAAGCGTATGCAGTACGGCGTGCCATTGGCCAGCTGCGCTTCCAGCTGCTCCGGCGGCAGATTGCGGCACTTGTTGTCGTAACGCGGCACCTGACGGGTGCGCACAGCTTCCTTGCGCAGCAGTTCCAGACGACGCTCCGTGCAAAAGCAGCGATAGGCGCTGCCGTTCTTCAGCAGGCGTTCAACGGCTTCGCTGTTGTTTGCGCAGTGATTAGAGTTCATTTTGGATAAATAAAAGACGTCCGGCTCACCTGTACAGTTGGGTGCGCTGGCTCTGGATGTAGGGCCCGTGCTCCCCGCCAAAGCCCGGGCCCTCATCTATCTCAATGCCAGCCCAGAGCAGATCTTCGATCAGACGCTCAGTGGCACCCGGCACCAGCCTAGTCTGATCCGTATCCTCGATGCGCAGCAGGAACTTGCCGCCGGCATGCCGCGCGTACAGATAATTGTAGAGCGCCGTGCGCAGGCCGCCCAGATGTAAGTCGCCGGTGGGGCTGGGCGCGAAACGTACGCGCACATCGCTGTGGCGGAGCCTGTGGCTGGCGCAGAGGCACTGCGTCAGCATTCTGGCTCGTTGCATCATTAACATTTTCAGTTAAAGGAATCGAGTGAAGAGCGTAACAAATGTTTGTTTACGTTCGCCGAGTTAACGGTGT